TCACCTGCCATCCAGGGACAGAAGGAGGTGACGGGGGGGGGTAAGACAAGAACTCCCCTGTTCCTCAGGGGTACGACAGACTGTATCCTAGTCTCTATCCCCGGCACACATCATGTAGCTTGTCCTCACAGATACCTGTGTAAGCTACCTCATGACATACCGGTAAGACTAGTTATCACAGCATATCATGACTTCATCCTCCCGGATGTTGATAGGGCCCTTTTCCACGCAGAAGTCAAGCTCTCAAATGGTTCAAATGCATGTTAGCCTACGGGCAAGCTATGGACCACATTGATCAGCTTACCAAAATCGGCCCTGTGCGTCTCTTATTCAAATGAATTCTGGTGCGCCACTCCTGACAAGGTCAGCGTGGATGCCAGCTCGCTGCTGCTCGCACCAAACAACCATCACAAAAAGCGCGGCCCCAAGCCATAGCCTCCCTCATGTCCTGCGTCGTCATTGGCTTCACCAAGCGGATTGCACGCTCGGCAGATTGCTTGTGGGAGCAGAGGGTCTGGCCGTTGTTGAGCTCCAGATGAACCTTTGAACGAAGTGTCGCAATGTAGCCGCAGGGCTCTGGGAACGGGTTCCTGAGGGAGCTGGTCCTGAGAGTCGTATCCACCCACGACCTCATACCCGCTTCATGGATGATCCCCGGAATGTCCAACGAGCGCCTGCAGCTCTTCACGTAGGCCACTGCAACATCCCAGCTCTCCTGGGCTAGCAGCGCACGGAACACACAGCCCCCAATACCTGCTCGGTGGCGCCCTGATAGGCAATGGATCAGGGCCGATTCGCCTGCATACATCGTATTACGCAGCAAAGGCCAGACTTCTTCGAAGTCTCTATTCCTGGAACCACCATGGGCCACACACAGGTGTTTCAAGAGGGCATCTGTGAGCACCACTCCTCCTCTGGATGATGGGGCTTCGGCCATGCACGCAATCTGAAGGGTAACTCCCTTTGGAAAGCGGTTTGCCGTGTTCTTGGTTGGAATTCCACTCAGCCACAGCTTGCCCCCTGCCCTATTCTGATAAATAAGGCTCGGGCTCTCCGCTGTCTTGCCATGGACTGTCGCCAACCTGTCGAACTTCTGGTCGGGCCCTCGAGTATCCAGTGCCTCTGGAATCGGAAGGTCCTCCTCCTCGACTTCGACTTCTTCTTCTTCCGAACTGGTCTCCAGGGCTGGCAATGGCGCTGGAGGTGGAGCTGGGGCTGCTTTGGCCTTCTTCGCTGGCGGTGCCTTAGACGGCGGCCCTTGTGGGGACCGTGGGCGCCTCACTGACGCCCTAGGAGGGGCAGCTGGCTCCGGAGGTCGCTCCTCCGTGGATTTGCTAGTAGGCTTGGCCTTAGCAGATCCCGAACCAGGCCCTTCGCCAGCCATCTCCTCCACCTTGATGAACTTCTTGTCGTGGCATTCACATGCCGGATGGCCTCCACCGCAAACTCGTCCAGCTTTGCGCAGAATGGCGCATGCATGGCGACCAGGGCACGCTTCCTTCTCCAAGGGGCAAGACCTTGTCTGAAAAGCTCCACAAATGGGTGCTCCATTCTTCATGAATGCGCTCAGCACCTTCCCATTGAGAGATGCCGGCATCGCAGACAGGCCACCCTTGGCTTGTGCCTCTTCTCGTTTGGCCGCAGCCTTGAGCTTGAGAGCCTCCGACAGCTGGAAACGCGCCTGCATCTCAGCCTTCGTCAAAGGAGCTGCCCAAATGACCCTGGATTCCTGCTTCAGCACCTTGTCCACGTTCTGGCGCGCATACTCCAGGGCCTCAGCATAGGTCTCCGTGGGGATGGTCTCCCATGACTCATGGGCAAGCAGCTTCTCCATAGCCAGCCTCACAATGTGCTTGGTCCTCAACGAAGACTCATACCTGGCTGCACTGTAGTGCATAGGCATTGTCGCCTCCTTCGGGATCTGGGAACGATCTGCCCAGTCCCCCAGTGAGCATAGCTCGAGAGGCGTCAGCTTCATCAAAGTGCCCACTGTAGGTGCTGCTCGCCGCCAGGAGTAGGAAGACAAATCCTCTGTATTCTGGACCAAGTGCTCAAAGAACTCACGATTGAGCTCGTTGACGAACTTCAATGTGTATGCGGTGCCCTCCGCATCAAAGCATAACCCTGAAGCGGCTTGCTTAGCCTTATCCAGGCTGCTGTAGTCCCTGAACAAGGCCGAGCCCCAAGCCCATCCATTGACGAATGTGGCCGGAATGCTGAAGGAGAACCCGCCCCTGTTGGCCTTCTGCTTCCCCTTCGTGCAGTAGCCATGAAAGGAGCTGGGGGTCACTTTGACTGGCCTGGCACGCATGATGTGCTGGTATCGCAGGACACCAAAGGTAACCAGCCAGCTGGACAGCAAGCCCCTCCAACGCGGGTCCCCTGCTTCGTACAACGATTGAATCTTCTCTTCAAGCGCTGCAATCATTGGGGGCTCAACCGCAACAGCCTGTTCTGGGTTTGCCTGTTTGGGTGGATTCTTACGAGCTGGGACTGGTACATCACTGAAGTCCCATTGCAACCGGCCATGTTTGGAGAACCACTTCAAGGAGTGAAAGGCTCGGTAAGGCCCCGACGTGCCGTTCTGCAAGAAGCCATAGAGGTCCAATGCATCCGGTGGGAACAAGCGGTCCTTCTGCTCCATGTAGGCCCGCAACTCAGCCCAGGACTTCAGGGCATTCACCACCGTCGCTCCTTCGGCCTCTGTGACCTTCCGCTTAGACAAAGTATCCAGAGCGTCTTGCCACTGAGCGTACCTCTCCGGGGTCAACTCCCCTTGAGGACGCATGACCTTGGCTTGAGAAAAGGCCTTCCTCAATGCCGCAGCTCGCAGCAGCACCGTCTCTGGTTGGTCTGGGCCTGGCCGGACTCGAAGAGCTTGGACCATCTTGCTCTTCTTCATCATGGACGCCTTGGGCGCAGGCCATGTCGTTGGCCGATCTCTGGAGCCCGAGCTCTCAGCCACGGCAGCCGCTTGAGGGATGAGGTCAGCTTCGGCAGTTTTGGAGCGCGCTTGCAACCACGCATCTGCCACATGGTGTCCTCCATGTGCCACTGCGCTGTCATAGGATGCAAACGCATAGGCGAAGTCAGTCTCATCATGTAGTCCCCATTGAGCTCGCCACTGTTCAACACGGGTGGATGCCACCCTCTCCATCGCCGTCTCTGCACAAGGTGGAGCCTCACCAGCAGCTTGCACCGCATAGGCTCCTGGGTGGTACGCCATGGCGACGCCTGACACCACCGCCGCCAAGGTTTGGAGCGTACGGGCTGGGCCTGAAACTGCAGACCACACCTCAGTATCATCAGGTAACAAACAAACATCACTAGGCCGCAGCTGCTGCAGATGGGTCTCGACGCAAGACGGGGTGACATCCTGGACACTGGGAGGGTGGACAGGTACTGCACACAGAGGAGAAGCATCGCTCACAGAGCTCAGGTGTCGGCAGTCCACAAGCCTTGCAAGGTGGCAAGGGTTCCTCCCCAGCCTCCATGGCACCGAGCCAACCCCATAACGACCGAACTGCTCTGGCCCGTGGTGCTCTCCACGCAACCAGGTCAGCCGGGATGGGCACCAGGGATGGGTCCCTCCATCCACGCTGTGGGGATTGCCAGGTCCTCCACACATCCCAAAGTTCGGTGAGGTCGACCATGCTATCGGCATTGTGCTCGATGAAGGCGACCAAACCAAAGATGTTGTCCGGCGCAAAGTCCCGAGCCGTCCAATGAGTCCGCAGCAGCTCGATGAGTAGCAAATCCAGCTTCGCCTCGCCCAGGCGATCATAGTAGGATTGCCACGCACGCCGCGGGTCACTCCCGGGCAGAGCCAAGACAGCTGAGCTGTTCCATGTGCCGATCCAAGGGAACTTGAATCCTCCCTGATACTCAGTGCACCTCCTACAGTTTTCTTCCATACAAGGTGACCGTCTGAAAGGGGGAAGTCCCTGCACCCCCAACCCAATTGGATGTGGGGGGAAATGATCAATTTGGCACACAGAAGCCCACAACCGGGTGGCCTCTGCCACCAAGCCCTGCTGGAGTAGGCTCTCCACGTGCGTCTTGAACTCGTAGTAGGCAGCCGCATGAAGCAGCTCCACATCCGTGTGGGCAGCCTCATTCCAACCGGGCCGAACGACGATGGAGGCCCTTGGCATCGAGGGGGTGACCTCCCACCTTCGTAACCTCTGTACTCTAGGGTAACGCCCTAGTAGAGGAACGAGAAACCACTAAGCCTAGGGTAACTCCCTAGAAGTGGTGTGGGTACCCCAGCAAAAAGAAAGAACGATGAAGCCAGTTTGGCTCAGACTTGAGCCAAAATGGATTCATCAGCTTACATACTCACCCTAATGATAATGCACACCCAGTGCCTGCCAAACACGATGCATACATATATATAATGTATATATACTGTATATTAATATACATATATATTATGCATATATGCAGGTATTTATCTTTTTTAATTCATGTGCGTAGCCGCTGCTGGTTACAGCTATGTGCTAGAGGAATTGTGTGTGTGTGTGCAAGACATGAGCAGATTGACTACCGGGTTCCCGGTATGTAAACATATATAAACCACATGGAAAAGGAAAACAACTTGAATGCTCATGTGTCCTGATCTAAAAGCGAAAATTCAAGGAATTGAGCACAGATGACATGCATGCAGATCTACCCTGGAGCCTGAAACTTCATTCAAATATCAGCTATATATCGGGCGCAGCATGAAGGGCCCCAGGAGCCCTGATCTGAAAACACGCTGACTCTGTACATCCGGCGACCCTGCTGACTGCTGATTTGGCGAAGTCCCCAATCTCTGCGATCCCCCACAGAATTGGTATCTTTGAGTATTACCATCTGGTTATTTAACATAGCCATGGAAGATCACCATTTTTAATAGGTAAACCATCTATAAATGGGCCATTTCCCATGGCTATGTTAAATAACCAGAGGGTAAACCTTCCATCTTGGTATGGCAACTCCAATCCTCCCCATTTCTTGCTTCATTCTGCGGTTCCTGGGCAACTTACGGCATTGATGCTGTTGAGCTCCTTCAGATGAGCATCGGAGATGCTCAGCAGCTTCTCCAAGTCACTACCACGCGCAGCGTCTGCAAGTGATTGATAGAGCTCCTGCCAGCCCCAATTTTTTTCCGCGCCGAGGTCTCTGGGTTGGGTCAACCTGGGGGAAGCCCCAAAAAGGCATAGCTAGATATACCCTCTGGTTATTTAACATAGCCATGGTATAGAGGGACGTGACTCACTTGCGCACCTGGAAATTCACTCACTTGCGCACCTGAGAAATTCACTCACTTACGCACCTGGAAAATCACTCACTTGCGCACCTAGGTGTGGTGGGGTGGTTGGGTGGGGTGGGGTGGGGTGGGATAATAACGTTCATGTTCCCGTGCACCCACAGGCACAGCAACCTCATCATCTTTCTTGCTGTCCTGCAGACACAGGCAGTGATGGTGGGGTGGGGTGGGGTGGGATAATAACGTTCATGTTCCCGTGCACCCACAGGCACAGCAACCTCATCATCTTTCTTGCTGTCCTGCAGACACAGGCAGTGATGGTGGGGTGGGGTGGGGTGGGGTGGGATAATAACGTTCATGTTCCCGTGCACCCACAGGCACAGCAACCTCATCATCTTTCTTGCTGTCCTGCAGACACAGGCAGTGATCTTTCAAGATAAGTGACCGGTGGGGTGGGGTGGGGTGGGATAATAACGTTCATGTTCCCGTGCACCCACAGGCACAGCAACCTCATCATCTTTCTTGCTGTCCTGCAGACACAGGCAGTGATGGTGGGGTGGGGTGGGGTGGGATAATAACGTTCATGTTCCCGTGCACCCACAGGCACAGCAACCTCATCATCTTTCTTGCTGTCCTGCAGACACAGGCAGTGATCTTTCAAGATAAGTGACGGGTGGGGTGGGGTGGGGTGGGATAATAACGTTCATGTTCCCGTGCACCCACAGGCACCCGTGCACCCACAGGCACAGCAACCTCATCATCTTTCTTGCTGTCCTGCAGACACAGGCAGTGATCTTTCAAGATAAGTGACCGGTGGGGTGGGGTGGGGTGGGGTGGGGTGGGGTGGGATAATAACGTTCATGTTCCCGTGCACCCACAGGCACAGCAACCTCATCATCTTTCTTGACACAGGCAGTGATCTTTCAGGATAAGTGCTTATTGCTATTATAATTTTACACGTTTCGCATAGGCATTTATGTAATATGAACAACAATTCATCATCCTGAACCGACAGTGTCAGGCCATCACCAAATTGTCCATGACATAGAATGATGAAAAAAACTTGTTGGTCTATTTGTACTTTTCTCGACCTGTACTATATCTACTTCCTCTCCGACTGTGCCAGTGTTGCCATCGGCCTGCAAAAAGCCACAGACTACTTGTGCCTGTCGCCGGTGTTTTTTCTGCATTGACACCGCCACTTGCGCGGCGGCTGATGCGGACCAAGGCTTTTGGGGAATGGGCATCAGCTTGCAATGCCATTGTCTTTTTTCAAACCCACATCATGGTAAAGAAAAAATCTGTTTTGTACAAGAAAACTTGACACATGGCACTTTGCCAACCGTATCTTTGTTGTTTCAAACATGTGATGAGTTTCAAACATATCGAACACCTGATTTCCCAAACAATTCTCCCCGGGCCGCGTTCAGGCACCGGCTTCTGAAATGCTATGTCCAGACAAATTGTGGCTGCTACACCCAGCCGTTCAATGCTTGCCACAAAAAAACAATTATGAACATCTATGGACTGTACTTTTTGGTTCCATTTTTTTCAGTAGTATGGAAAATATTGTTTTTAAGTTTTAAGGGACGTGGAGAAGCCGCATGTTGCAAGTAGGAGTAGAAGTGGGATTGTAAGTAGAAGTAGAAGTAGAGATAAAGGTGGTGGTAGATGTAGACGTGGAAGTCGAAGTAGAAGTGGAAGTAGAAAGAGAGGTGCAAGTAGAGGTAGAAGTGGAAGTTTTCAGGTGCACAAGCGAGACGATTTCCAGGTGCACAAGCGAGACATTTCTCAGGTGCACAAGCGAGGCACATGCCTGGTATAGATGGCCCATAGAAATAGATGGTTTACCTATTAATAGCATGGTGATTTTCCATGGCTTAAATAACCAGAGGGTAGCTGATATAGCTCAACACAAGATACGAACCCCCCATGTTTAACTCCTTATGTATGGCCAATGGCCTAGGCCAATCCCTGCCTGATCTTGAGCTCTGGGTGATTCGACCTGGCGGTGCTGGTAGCTAAGTGCCCATCTTCTGGAAGTGGTCAAGTGTGACCATGAAAAATCAGGAAAAATCGACATCAAGATATATCAAGATATATCAAGATATATCAAGATATATCAAGATATATCAAGATATATCAAGATATATCAAGATATATCAAGATCACACTTCAATTTCAAAAATGTCCATATTTTTGATGTCCATTCATGTCCATTCCCACATCATCTGCCGATCTTCCCGCCTCCAGGAGGTCGGAGAAGGCCCATGATGCCTGACCCAAGTCCTTAAGGTCCTCAGAGAACTCAGCACCGGCAGCATACATCCGCCGCACCGACGTCCCACCTGCGACACCGGAGACCCCAAAAAAATCCGTCCCACACCTTTGGGGGACCCAAAATGAACTCAGTTTAGGAGTTTTTGAACTAAAAGTTGAAGCAATCATTCTGTCAAGAAAGTTGAGCAGAAACATGAGGGATTTGCCCGAAAGTTGAGCAGAAACATGAGGGATTTGCCCTGATTTTTAAGGATCTTTTCCTAGGATGATGCAGTGGATTACCTCGGGGCACTGATAAACAGCGTTGAGTTCAGCCGCAAAAGAGAATAAGTTCGAGGGTTTGTCCAAAAATTAGGCACCCCTACATCCAAAGATCGAGCATCTTAGAATCGCAGTTTTGGGGCCCACCGTTTTTCGACGAAGTCATTTGCCACCAATGACTTGACCGAAACCCACTCCAACATCAGCAGTGCTGCGACTCTTTCGCATTGCAATCCTCCAGTCATCTGCAACGTTCGTGCTGGGGCTTCGTAGTCTCAGCAAAAATGAAGAAGGATGCATTTGGGGAGAAAAAGTGGGAGTTCCTCCCCACTTTCGGTATAGTACAACTAGGACAAATAGGTCTCTACTCTAGGTCTGCAACTACCTGCAATTCTTCAGGAACTGTGCATCACCATTCTCTTTCTCATAGTTTTGCCCGTTTCCTGGCTCCAACTTCCTTGCAAGCGCATCAAACACCCCACTTCACATCCCCAATTGCTGCTGGAATTCCACTTGGTAGACGTATGTATATAATATAATATAATATAATATAATATAATATGATATAATATAATATAATATAATATATATATACACACATACATACATATTCTGTATGCTTATCATTACACAGGGTGAGTCAACCCTGCTAGATTGCTGTTCGAGTCGCGGCTCGCGGCTGTAAACATCCCTCAACCGATGGATAGGTATTTTCCGGTGGGAAAGAACAAACATATACCTTTGGTGGCTTCCCCATATATAGAATAAACAGAAAAAACTATGAAGCAACCTTATTGTCATCAAAAATCATGTGAAAGGAACGATGAACAAAATCACTGAACATCAAAGGAAAACACAATCTTCATCAGTCTCAAAGTGAATAAAAAGGAAAGCAAACACACTTCAAGAAGCAATATCTAAACTTATTCCCAAAAAAAACGGAGAAAATGGAAATCACAAAGCAAACATGAAATCACACGTGTTCTTTGAAAACAATGGTATGGTTGGTTATTGGGGATGCCCAGCTCATGATCATCCGCATGTAAATGCATATAACCGTAAACTCTCCATTTGAAACTCATATGCCATGGGCAACCCTGCCCAAACCAAACAGTAATCATCCATGATTATCAATCACATCCCCACCATGTTTTCTGACTGAAACCCCTCTGTTGAGGACTCCTGCCGGATCAAGCAGAATTCCATTCATGGTTTCATCAGTTTCATCCCCATGACTCTCATCAAGTTTGCATCCTGGAAATCATGATCCTTAAAAATATATGAAAAAAGCTTAGATGTTCATCACTGTTCGATCCTCATCAATGTTCATCAAGTTTCTGGTAGATCCTCATCGTCTTTGCTCCATCCTTATCACATCTCCGCCAGCGCCGTCCGCCATCATAGCCCCGCACATACACCTCCTGCCAGTAGCGCCGCCGGCGCCGGCCCTGGTTCAGAAAGCCGCCGGCGGAGGAGCTCTGAAAGCACACCTCAGGGTTCCCAGCCGCAGCTGGCGGATGCGTTGTTTTCCAAAAAAATGGAATAGTGAGGATATCATGGGGATATGTTTCAAATGGTATGGCAACTGCAAGAAACGTGGGCACTGCAGGTTGAATTTTCTTCATCAATTTTGCACATCGCGTGAAGGCACACAACAATATTTGCTTGGTTTACACCAAGTTTAATGCACTCTCATATGGTTGCAAGTGATCGCTTTTTGGGGTGGGCCTATCGCTTTACATGGTTTGGTGCACTTTCTCAACACAACTGGACACTCTCTTACTAAAGTAGTCTACGCTTATTTTGACCGCATCTCATATCTCTATACATATATATATATACATGTGTATATATATATAATGGACTACCAAATGGGATATGAATGGAATATGAGTGGGAAAAAAAACCATGGGATACTTTTTTGGAATGTGTCCCTCTCCAGTTTCAAACACAGCTGGAAAATTCCCCCATTCACTTCGATGACTTTAAGCAAACTTGGATGGTTTTTTGAGGCTTTTCTGGGCCAGGATGTTCAGCTAGTTTTTTTTTGGCTCTTGGGAAAATGATGACAAAATATTGGATGTTGTCAGATGTCCATTTGAATAAGTCTTGGTCGTCTTGGTCAATAGTGGGTTTTTTATCCATAGCTGCCATAGCTATTGTGGAAAGTTCATCGTCCCACATACTCATCACAACGAGGGGAAGAACTCGGAACCAGAGTTACTTGGAATTTGAGGAGTGGTAACCAAAACATTGTGATAGGAAGTCCCAGTTCTTAAACGAAATATGAAGGAAATGGGGGGAAAATATCTGGTTGATAATGAGTCCTCTGGTGGACAGAATTCCAAACCCAGATAGTGATACACCACCAGGAAGGTCACTGTGGTCACTAGTTTCAGGATGTTTCAGTGCCCCACCTGGCCATAAGGTCCCGTGACATCATGGAATGCCACTCGGAACCTCTCTGTGGACTTCTTTGAAATGTGGAAAGGTGTTGGAGAATTGGAGAACCAGACCTTCTGATTCTCCAAGCGCAGGCACTTGGGGTTGCTGTCGGGATCCGAAATGTCACCAAAGTACATGTTGTGCATGTACTCGTTGCACAAGTAGCGGTCCCTGGTAAACCACCAAAAGTTTTGCATCTGTGTAGCGTAGCTGCTTGAAGTGTGAGTGCATTCATCGAAAGTGGGCACACAATTTCGTCTGTAAAAGTAAATCTTCCCGTCAGACTCAGGCTCGAAGCAATCTGGAGATACCTTCAAGCACCTGTCCTCATGATTCACCAAAGTTCGGAACCCTGCCAAAAAAAAATAACATTTTGGGCCCAGTTTGAGCTAGAAATCTATATACAATATATATATATATATATACATATATATATATACATATATATATATACATGTGTGTGATTTCATAGCTCTCCGTTCCTATCAAGACAAGACATCCACATGTTCACCTACCGTGCAGCAGGCTCAGCAGTGGGTTCAATATCATCCTTTGGGGAAAAATACAGGGGGGTTGGCATGCCGATTACTATTCTCATTATTACTCTTATTATTGTTATTATTACTATTGTTATTGTTACTATTATTATGATTATTATTACTATTATTGTTACTGTTATTATTACTATTATTACAATAATTGTTACTATTTCTTTTCCCATTATTTACCCATTGGTTGCTGAGTGGGGGGCTCCCCTCTATTCATCAACGAGTGGGACCAGGAGAGCTATGGTTTGTCTTAAAATGGGATGCCCACAAATCCACTCGTTCATCATCATCTTTCCTACGGCATTTGGCAAAAAAATGCCATACACATCCATACCCTCTATTTTCGGACGCAGCTATCTATCATTTACCCTGTGCTTATTTAACGTAGCTATGGAAAATCACCATTTTTAATAGGTAAATCATAATAAATCATCTAGAAATGAGCCGTTTTCCATAGCTATATTAAATAACCACAGGGTACTCAGTCCTGCTCATTCTTGATGACGTACTCCGTTCCGTCTCCGCAGCTGCTAGGGGTACCCCCACTCCTACCACAAGAGCCGCCCAGGAGGTTGCTGAGCTTGCACTTGACCCTGACAGGGCAGGAATGAGGAAGATTCGCATGGGTGAAAATGGATTGGTTTGAGGGAACATCTACAGGAAATCCTGTCCAGGTCACAAAAAAGTGTTTCGACCTACGGCCCATGGCCCATGGACATCCAGACCGATCCCGCCTATTGGCTACCTTCTTGCCCTTGCTGACCACATTTCTTCCGAATTTATCGCCTCTGCCTCCAACATCGCTGGTGAAAAATTCGGCCACTTGCTGTGCTCCACTTCCGGCAAAGTTGCTGATCTTTTGCACCACATATTTGCCATTTTGGAGGAAGAGCTCTGCCCATCCCAGCCTGTCTTTGTCAATGATCATCTTTTTGGGGGTCCTGGTAAAGCACCATCCAATGTTAGCATTCAACCATTCAATTTGCTTGAAATCTACATAATTTTGACCTGTAGCCGCCTCGCTTTGCATCTCAATTTCTTGTTCCCAAACTTGAAGACACACTTGATCTCAGTGTTGGAACCAGCCAGCTTCGCTTCAGTGTAGAAGCCGATGCCAGCAGTGTTCACGAAGAATCCAATGCCTTTCAGAGGTGTTGGCTTGGATTTTGCCATAAATTGTGTGGCAAAATAGCAAAACCATCAATTTCATCCGATTTCCCTCTAGGGTGGCTATCATTTACTCATTTACCTAATTTTGTTTTGCTTTGTTTTGTCTGAATACAGGGCAGCACAAAATCCCATGGTTTATTACCTCTTTTTCCTCACTAAAGCTGCCACGTCGGTGTTGTTTGTGTTTCTGGGGGTAAACCCAAATGACCCATGAAAAATACCCGTATCCCATCATATTACACTGGTGTGTAAATAGATCTGCCGTCAAATGTGGCTTAGATCATAATCATAAACAAACAAACGGTCGTTCAAAAAGTAAAAACCTACATTTTGAAGCCATCAACAGTTGGTGACCCTCTGGTAATTTAACATGGCGAATCATGGCGTCGAGGAGTTCCATGGATTTCCCGCCTTGGCTGGCCGTAAGGGAGATGCCGCCACTGGTATCTGCACCTGCCACATCCAGCAGTCCTCCACTCTGACCCAGGATGGTGTCCACGATGCTCTCCACGAAGGACCCTGAGAGAATGTGGGTAAAACAATGCCATGTAAATACCGCTCATTTTCCTGGGAATGGTAAGTTTATACTCACCACCTATAAAAATGGTGATGACTGGGGGATGGTTTATGGCATTGTTTTACCCACGTCATGATATCATGATTTAAGGGGCTGTATATTACCCAGTATATCACCAGCAGAATGATGTAAAACTTGTCTCAAACCGGGGGATAGCTACCCACCTACCCCACTTTTGGAAAGCAACTTGACTGGTATAATGATTATCAGATTATCATAGAAGAATGATCAATCTTGGGAGCCGAAGGCCGGAACACTGGAACTGCCCCACCTAGATCAGCGGAAAGATAGAAGTACAAGCCAGGCAAATGTGATTCGGCCTCCTCGGAGTCCTGGTCATGGGCCTGAATTTTGACCTACCAGCACCTATAAAAAAGCCATGCGGTTCACCTTCTCTGATCCCATTTTGCTGAGGGATTCCCATTGGGATTTATCATCGTTAAACCACCTGGTACGGCCTGGTACAACATAGTACAACCCAAGGGGTGGATTGTGCATTGCTCATCTGGATTGTCACTGACGACCCTTTCCTGTCCTGACTGCTCTGTGCGGGGCCAGTTCGCAGCATCATGTTCACTTGGAACACCTGAACAGCCGAAAACAAGTCTTCAGATTTTGTAGTTCTGATACAAAGAACATTAGGTTCATTAGTCAATGAGGCTACTTGATCAATTAGCTCCCTTCATTGATCATTCCCCATGGTTATAATCTGATCTATATACTATCTATGGAAAAACAAAAATAACTAATGTGATGAACGCAATGAGGAACCATCCCATCCAACCAACCACTTGGGGGAAAAAAAACACCTCATCCCTAATGGGGTTTTACCCAACAATAAACATCGGGGATTGTTTATTATAGTTGTCCCTCATGAAAATATCCATGTCCCACAATTCTCCCAATTCTCCCAGTGCCAGCGTCACCTGAAAGGACATGTCAGGTAAGATCCCGTTACTGGGAGCAGCCAAGGCCAAGGTCAGGTAGCCGGTGACCGAGAGCATACTGGTGGACCGCTGCATTCCCTCGACCATCGACACCACCTTCCAAGTAACGGCACTTGAAATGCCCTGTGTTACAAATGAAATCGCGACGCGACCCATGTGTATATATATATATATATGTATATACAGTGTATATATAGATATAAATATCTAATGTGTATATATATATATATATACATATATGTATACATATTCGTATACATGTTATATCAGCAAATGCTACATCATCTTCAACCTATGCATATCTCACCTGTGACGCTGCCCCCGATTGCTCCAACAGCAGCGCTGCCGCCGCAGGGCCCAGGTGGTAGGCCGATGCAAAGCCACCGACGAGGTCGGGCAGGGCATCCGAGACGTCTGCGGCGGCCATCCACGTCAAGGCGGCCAGCAAGTTTTCACCTGAAAAAAGGTGAAAATATCAGACCTATAGGAAGCCCCATAAAGGTCATAAAGCGAAATTCTAGGATTGGTTTATGAATATATCATAATATATCATAATATATCTGGTGATTTTAGGAATGGATTGAAACTATACCTATTGGCCACGATATTGTAACTGTATTGGCTAATGGGAATATTTGGGGAATTGGTAAGTTACGCCATAATTATCAAATACCCCACACGGCCCAAAATGAATGGATCATCATGGATCAAATCCTAAACCATGGGGTCTAGAAGGTATTCAATTTTAGGGGGATAGGACTAGGAACCCATATTATCCTTGCAAGAGGGACCAAACTGTGTTGAGGAGAACATCTCAGGACCTCCGACAAGATCATCATAGAATCTTGAAAAATCTGTTCACAAGAACCTGCTAAGAGCATCCAACAAGAGCACTCACACAAGCACCCCCTAATACGGGGCACCTTCAATATCTTCATGCAAGGACCTCTTAGACGATTTAACCAGGATCCCCACAAGATCTTCCCACAAGGATCTCTACAAGATCAAGATCTTCAATCAGGGATCCCCAAGAGCGTGCCACAAGAATCTCGCAAGATCGTCATGAAGGACCTTCTAAGGACCTCCAAAAATATCTTTGCCAGAATCTCTGAGAACATGTCAAAATGAGCACCGCACCACAACGAGGGCAAACTGACTCGTGAAAGTGATGAGAGGGTTGCTCGAGCGATATCAAAACTAGCACGGCACCACAACGAGAGCGATCCACACACTCGAAGTGACGAGAAGGGTGCACGAGCGATGTCAAAATGAGGAAAGCCGCCACAACGAGAGCCGTCCAGCACGTGGGACAAAAAAAATGTGGGAACCCTTTGAGGGGTTTCTCATCTGTGGGAACCCTTTTTCACTCATCATGGAATGATGGCTATATTGACCTCGGCCATCAAAAAATCGCGTGTCCCCGTGAAATAAGGGAATATGAATATCTTGAATATCTTCAAGTTGGTATCTTTCAGGAAATTCTGGTTGCTCCTTTGGTATTCCTATTGTAGGATCTCGCATCGTGATTGGATTATGATGGGGATAGATGTAAGTAAATAAGTATGGGGGTATCCAATGTATAGGACAGTTTCCGGGATTCTAATCATCCATAGTGACGAATCACAGCACTACATGGGAGTCTGAGTAGAATCCCCCAAAAAAGCACCGTCATTTGGGTTTCTTTTGGGCAACTTCTGACAAATCTAGTTGCTTGCAGGAAGAAAAGACATGCCAAGGTTTTTTCCTCTTCTGGGTGGAATGGTTGGGGAACAATTTACAAGCGAAATCATCGTCTTGACCCCCAAGTATAGGGGGACAGGTACTGAATCTGTTCATTTTGGAGTCCCATTTTCGGGGGTTGATCCAAGAGTGGCAGCTTTAACAGGGAAATGCTTCAGTATCCTATTTTCAGACGACAAACCCAGGTGGGTAGGTGTGTATCGGGGTCAAATTGTACGATTTTTTCGCTCAGGGAACCACACACACAATGTCTCAGTCATTTTCTGATTTCTGAGGATAAACATCAACAGTCCACTTTTTTCGGGAGTTTTTGTCGAATTTTGACCCATATTGACCCATATCTCGAGTGAAGTTTGACGCAAAAAATCAGGAAACCCGGATTGTTGCCAGTGTCACAATAAACGGACCGGATAACCCCACATGTCACGCCTTGTTGTATCTAAGCTTTATGTGAATTTTTTCAGAAGACATGCAGCACACAAGTTCTTTTTGAACAGAGGCAGCGCAAGTGCAAGCGTCACCCCATGCAGTTCACAGTACCTGGCGCAGGTGATCTATGATACAAAAAATATGAAATGATGAGTCTATGTGACCGTTAGTATCACAGTGATAGACTGTTATCTGTATTTATCTGTATTTATCTGTATCTATGTGTACCAGTGCCTGGATTTATGTCCAAAATGCACAGTGTTCGAAAAGCACAATCTGTTAGCATATGGCCAAAAGAGTGCAGCGTTCAAACAGATTCATATGCCAATAACGATGTTACTATAGTGTCCAAGGTGGAAAACGAAATCTAGCAGTGGCTGTTCCAGGCATGCCACAACCAGCCTGCGCCGCAATCATCGAAGCGGGGAATGAAAATCTTGCACTTGCGACCAGAAGCCTGACAGTTCGAGAGAAAAAGGCTGGAACTTCGTAAATACAAAGCAAAGCACAGCGATCTCTACACAGCACGGTGACGACCAGGCCCGGCAGCCATGGTAGATCAACCAATGAGGCATATCAAATTTGAGATCGTAGTGATACAAAACCTATATATATATCATTATACGAAGAAGCAAATATGTTTCAAAGACACGCAGCGGTGCCTTGTGGCCACAACAGTGGTGGGAGTACGGAAGCCTGTCGTGCAAAAAAGTTGAACCATGCGTCAGTGCTGTGGCGTGACTACACAAGGCTCGGAAGTGCGTCAGCTTGACAAAGGAATCACACAAAAACCACAGCAGGTACAGCGAAGTAAGTCCGCCGAAAAGCGCCGTTGCGTGCTTGGTCGCAAAGACAAGAAAATTTTGCATGAACGGTCAGGGCATGCTCGTTGGTTCCAGCGCATTCTGGGTAATTGGGTACTTTGTCACGCCGACTCACAGAGCCAGAACGCGCGAAAAGAGACGGCGATCGCAGTCCTTTCTGTTGGCTCGCACCACAAAACAATGACGCAAGAGTATGTCGCACAAAAAGGCAGGAAAATAGACTTGGTCATGCAGACTGAATACATCGTAAAAACTCTGAAGCTGCCAAAACTCTCGCGAACAGACGATGAATCACATCATGAAAGAAAGAACTCTGACTCACTGACTTATGTCTCAGGTTCTGACCTCAAAACATGGACCATCTGAGCGCCCATCCTGCAGCCAGCCGCGAAGCACATAAGCAACAAGTAAAGATAGATCTACCAAGTACACAAACCTCACCAGTGTGTCCCAAGAATGCTCATTGAATCTTTAATCTCTTTCATTTTCCAGAGCGACTGAGCTCCAAACCCACCAGCAACAAAACTCCAACCTTGCGGGCTATCGCGTTGGCCAACGACAATGACTGCCGCTGATGACCAGTTAATATGATATATCCATTGGAAACATGCAACTTCAAGAGAATCCCAAGAAGACGTACTGAGCTCCAAACCTTGCAGAAATCGTCATGATAGCGCACACCGAACCCGAAACAGCTGCAACACCAGCGGGACTTTTGTAGCTAAGCTTTAAGTTCTGTATGTGAGGCTCTCCGCCTAAGCGAGCGAGGGTGAGAGAGATGAGATAAGATGAGATGAGATGAGACAAGATGAGATAAGATGAGATGAGATGAGATGAAAGCCAGCCGCGGCCCAGCGGCGGCCACGCGCGCAGCTCCTCCAAGAGGCTATGTGTACTGCGCCTGTCACACGAAAGCCAGGCGCGGCCCAAGCGGCGGCCACGCGCGCCGCAGAGGCTCTGTGTAGCCACATGAAAGCCAGCCGCGGCCCAAGCGGCGGCCACGCGCGCCGCAGCTCCTCCAGGAGGCTCTGTGTACTGCGCCTGCCACACGAAAGCCAGCCGCGGCCCAAGCGGCGGCCACACGCGCCGCAGCTCCGCCAGGAGGCTCTGTGTACTGCGCCTGCCACACTGGTGTGATGAGTGAGATGTGAGAAGTGGAGCTGTGATGAGTTGTGGTGTGATGAGTGAGATGTGATGAGAGATGTGATAAGTGAGGTGTGAGAAGTGGAGCTGTGATGAGTTGTGGTGTGATGACCAAGATGTGATGAGAGATGTGAGATGATGGTGAGGCGGCGAGGCGGGATGCGGAAGCCGGCGGAGAGCGGCGGGATCCAAGCGAAAAACAAGAACCCCACACAGTGATGTGCGGAAAAAACAGATTCGAGTCGACGGGAGGATCATTTTTGTTTCCAGGGATGGAAATTGTGCTCGATGTGACTACTCAAAATTCGGGATCTTCCAAAAAGCATCCAATTTGGGATTCCAACATTCCAACATGTGATTTTTTTGAGCCACACACCCGCGATGTTTTGCACCAGTCACTACCATCATAGGCCACCGCGAACTGTGCCTGCAAATCTCCTGCCAGAAGGTCGCCGATGGTGTCATCCATCCCAAGTAGCTGGCCAATGGAAAAACGCACAGTGGTGCTCATCGCAAGGTGCGGTTTCAAGGTGATGTCATCGATGCGAATTGCATCACCATCACCATGAGCCTAGAAAAGTTGCTGATGTGAAAATCCGGATATTTGTGGGTCGAGCCATTCAGAAAAAGTCAATAAAAGTTGGGAATAACACAAAAAATTGGGGCTGAAGCTGAAAATTCGGTACCCATACCCAAAAGCTTCAGTGGGCCCCACTATTTCTGTTGGATATTAGTCATGGGGAAAAGTAAAAGAATGAACCACTTGAATGTGTGAGACCCAGGAATCGTAAAGTGGTGCTCATATCCAATATAGGGTTTTATCACAGTCTATACTCATGGCTCATAGATTCATAACTTTGATGAATCTATATACATTACTGTAACCAGCATTAACCAGCTACCATTCCTGGGCCCATGGATTTCGCAAATCCAGGTGAGCCAAAGTCATGGTCTTGGACAGTTTCCGGTCGACGGAGATGCCGAAGCTCAGTTCTGGCACCATTCCTGCGAGTCGGCTGATCACTGGTGCAAACTTGTCCGCAAAGCACTCCTTGGTGAGATCGAGGTTAGGGGGAAAAGGGATGAAAAGGGAACCTAAAAGACCGGAAACCCATGGTTTATATGGTTTTGACCCTGAAATATTCCATCCAGTGCTGGGATATCGAGCGCCCCGCTTGCGCCATCCAGCACGAAACCGAGGTATGTCAAAATCATGAGGGAAGGACGCTTCAAACATATGACAAAAATGAATTAAACCATATTAAACCACCAAACAGATTCAATGGTGTCTGCACTGATGGACAACATGAAGTTGACTCCGGAATTGCACTTGTTGAAGGCGAAGCCCACCTTCAGCTCCGTGTACTGATCCACGCTGGTGCCCGAAGGACAAAAGAGGCCCATGTATAATCCAACTGTTCCCCATGTTTGTGAATCATCCGGGTCAATGAAGAGATTTCGCAGGTAAGTCAGGCCCTGGAAGGAATCATAGAGTCCTTGGTTCTGACCATAGGTGTTGCTGACCACCCAGGATCCTTCACGATCTCCCATGCAAAAAATGGTGCCGGTGAGGGGGGTCGCATCGCTCCACACTCTCAGGAAGGCATTGAAGTAGTTGGCACTGCTGCCAGGGGCCATACTGGCCAACTCATATTGCCAGTCCATGGTGGCCACGCACACACCTGACACCCCCATGCCACAACCCATGGAGCGATTTCCCACCGACTGGGACAAATCAGCTGCAAGGTGCGAGGGCCCCGAGATGTTCTTGGAGGAAGTCTGCAACAAAGCCTTTGAAACTGCTGCTGAGCATGCTGCTTCACCTGGCTAGGAATTCAGGCTCCAAAAATGGGCTGTTTCGTCCTGTGCAAATGTCTTGCCTTATACTTGAATCATCTCATATAAAGTGATACTCATCTGATACTCAAAATATCTCAAAAATGTGATGCTCAGTATTGTCTTAATATGTCTTAATGTCTTATACTTCAAATATCTTCAAATGCGGTCAATCTATGCTTTCAAATGGCTTGTAACGTGGATTCATCCCCGCCTGAACATGCCTCTTCAGCTGCCGCCCAGCGCAGAAGCATCGGCAATACGAACGAGATTGAGATCGACGACATTTCAAATCGGCCTCGATAAAGTACTTCAGTGCAGAAATTAAGGTGTTAGGACGTAAGGTGATCTCGTTGGAGCCAAATTTGTCACAGATCTGCATACTTGATGCGCTATGTGCTGGAAAAATGTGCCAAGCACATGGATTGTCTGACAATGGCATGTCCCAATTTCAAAGAATCATCATCTGTCCCATAAGTGCCATGGTTCAAAATTCCCATTAGAAACACCTTAAGATTCTTTTTTGTTGGGCACATTTGGGCACCCATCTTCGAAAAAACTCCTTTTTCAGCACCGGACAGGCCTGACAGGTCTTGAAGTCGCGCTTCAACCCATCAAAGTTGGCAAAGTCCGATGCCACTTGCGGCCGAAAAAATGGCCAATCTGAAAAAAAACCGATGTCCTGCTCGTACAGCTTGCGCTGCTGCTGAAGGAATTGCTCACAGTCCAGACCTTTGAACCATTTTGAACCTGTGTTGTGCATGTGCTGAATCCAAGTCAATGCACAAGTTAAATGCAGATCCTTTTATGATCATGTCACATCTTGCCTGGAACAGGAAGGAAATCGCAAGGTGCCCACGGCGTCTGTCTTATCTCAACCACTGAGTTTCATGTCTCTGCTTTGGCAGTCGCAGCTTGATCTTTGGAAAACTCGTGGTTCCGTCAATGTGATATTGACATATATTGACTATGTAGTATGCCTGCGAGCCAAACAGTCGTTCCAAGAGAGTCTAAATGAAGCCACAATATGACACTGGCCCAATGATCCCAATGGACATCGGTTCACAGCAATTACACCCCAAAACTGCTGTGCCGAGTCGGAATTATTTTCGATGTCATTGGCGCGATCGCAAGGAAAAACGATCAAGCCGATCACGGAGGTCGCAATGTTCTTGGCATATTCGAATGATCTTAAAATCCATGCAGTCATCACCTGCATTGTTACCACTCAAAAGAGGTACAGTATATCTTGCATATAAAGTTTCCGCACGTCAAGTTTCCGTACGCATAGATGTACAAGTAACCCCCTGGAAAAGGATATTCCGTCAGAATATCCTGCGGTAAACCCAATATCATCAGCCTCCAATTGGGAACAATATATGGTGAGTTGTTAGGGACGGTTATGTCTTTGGCTTCCCATATGATTTGGATTATCGTTGCTGCCAAAAGAGGCACCCCCCATTTTCGGTGGCTATCTCGCATCCCAGCCCTGGGCAATGGAATCTTTGTACATGTCCCACCAAAGAAAGCTTGGGATTGTCCAGAAATTGGGGATCAAAGATGGCAAGTTCAAGCTGGGAAGTGATTATTTAAACATAGTTTTTTCACCATCGGGTTTTTTCAGTGCCATTTATTTTCGGACAAACCCACCCGGCGTTGATGGGAACTCACACGCGATCTAGAGGAACAGTAGTCTCCTCGGTCCTCCGCATGGCGCTCGATTTTTTTTTAATGATTTGGATAATTTTGGATACACGTTTAGTACCAGTGAAGATTAAAATTTGAAGCCACTGTCAGTATCAAGCAACACTTCTTACATCTTCCAAAGAGACCATAAAGATTCCCATGCTACTCGGTCTGTGAATTGTTTTATAGATTTGATGTGCGGAAATCTCCTGAGCCTTTCCTCCGCTGGTGGATTCAAGCGGCCTCAAGCGGGCCACAGACACACCCGCAATAGCAAAAGTGGTCAAAAAGCTGGCCCCAATGAAGCTGCAAATTTGGCCATGCTGAGTCATAAAACCATGTATCCTATAGTGTCATATGTAACAATGTATTTAATGTATTTGTGTGTGTGATGTATTTAAACCATGTCTTGAGGGTGTCATCATCTCCAACCAAGACCGTGTAGCCCGTGTAGAGTGACCCCGTCATGGCAGAGTATGGAAAACAATGCTGGTTCGATGTTTGCATATGGCAAAAACTGTCTTAAAATTGAAGACAAATTGAAATACAAAAACGAAAACCAGTTGATTCATGGCAAATCATCCCATTTTGCGTGCCTTCCGAAGCTGCGAAGGCCTCCCCATCCATCTCCGGAGGTGGCAATGGTCCGGCCGTCTCCATCGTCTCCGCAGCCATCGCCATGGTGCCGTCACGACTGGGGGCCCCTGAGCTGAGCCCAGGCCGGCACCCTGGTGGCCCTGGTGGCCCTGGTGGCCCTGGTGGCCCTGGTGGACAAGGCCCTGGAGGTCGAGGTTCGGGCAAGGGTCCAGCACTGAGACCTGCAACTTCTGGAGCTGCTGGGGCTTCTGGAGCTGCAGATGCTGCCACCAAGTCGTGCAATGCAGACCCCTCCGAGCATTGCCACTGTGGTGACGAAGGCCCTGGAGCGTCCAGCTGGCGGCTGAAGGCTGCATCAGGGGCAAGTGATGGCAACAACATGGACTTTTGCAGCAATCCCAGACTCTCCAGGTTCTGTTGATGTCTTGCTCTCAATTGTTGGAGCTGCTCCTCCTCATTCCCAGCCAAAGATCGCAGCTGCCGTTCCGTGTCCGACAGCTTTGAGGCAGCACGCAGGGCGGTTTCGCTGACATCGTTTTCCACTCCTGGCAGCTCGGGTCCATCAGGTCGCAGGCCCAGCTTCCAGAGCTGTTCAGCCATGGGTCCCCGCGAACATCCCCAGGTCTCTGGTAACGGGGGCTCCCAGGGCCGCCACGATGGAGCCGAAGTGGCCCTGACACGCCTGGGAGACGCAACTGGTGACCAAGCTGCTGGGCGACCCAAGTGAGGGGGTGGACCAGGAGCACTTGCGAAGGATGGATCCATCGTCAGTGGAGGCCTACAGGGCCATAGACGCAAGAAAGGCTAGGACAACATTTCTTCATGTATATGTAAAAGATTATTTTTTCGGGCTACATACATTTACATACGTGTTTCTATATATAATATTTATAATGTGATATATATATATATACACATGATATATATATACTATATTATATATATATATAATATATATTATATGATATTACATTATGTTATGTTATATTATATTATGTTATATTACATTATATTATAATATATTATATTAGATTATATTATATTATTATATTATATTATGTTATATTGTATTATAGTATATTATATTATATTATATTATAGTATATTATATTATATTATATTATAGTATATTATATTATATTATAGTATATTATATTATATTATGTTATATTATATTGTATTATATTATATTGTATTATATTGTATTATATTGTATATTATCTATATCTATATTATGCATATTATATTATATATATACAGATACATATATATATATACACACTGTGGTCCTGAAACCACCAATCCAGTTATTCTTGGGGTATCCCCGCCTTCCCCAAGGACTCGGCTCTCGCTCGAGGCCAACACCCAGTGGGTGTCGGAGCCGTAAATAGTCACCCTTCCTGCTTGGACTCACCTGAGCATGGCTCAGAGGCTCAGATTGGACCATGATTTGAACCCAAATTGGACCATTTTTTGAGACAACTGTCATATCTGTCATTTGGTATCCAGCTTAGGCTCTCTTTGGATTGATTACTTTGTGCCTTTGTGCTAAGATGCAGACTTCTTCTGGATACTTCGCGGATGCCTCGTGCAGCTGCCAACGGGAAAACGGGGGGGAACATGATATAAGTTGCTACAAATGGTCATTGGATGTCATTGGGATTGATTGTGTTTCATTTAATGAACTGGGTTGTTAGGCTGTTGTATTTCATTTCTTTGAAATATCCCTTCGTGTCAATCGCTAACTCTTCAGCCCTCCAGAGTAGGGAGATCGCAGGAGGTCGCCGGAGATCGCAAAGCCCCAGCCTCCGTGATTGCTTGGAGGATCTGATCAGCATCCTGCAAAGCAATCTCTGATGGTCATGGAAGGCACGGGTTTGTCTCAACATCTGCAAACCCATGGGACCCTTCCCATACCACAAATTTTGTTGAGTTGGAACCCCAAGCCGGTTCCATTCAGATGGTTTCGAAATGTATTAAATATCATTTTACCCATCAACATGGCCATTCTGGTCTACAAGCATCCCCCAGTTGGGGCAAAAACAAATTAGGAAACCCCTAGGAACAAAGTGCGAGCTGCAACACTCCTCAAAGTATTCCTTTTGTATATATATATATACACAATATCCACAATGACATCCGCTCTGTCCGGCCTTCTCAGACATTCGATTTCGTAACAACGAGCGTGCACGGGGGACAGCCTTGCCATTCAATTGGCTGCATGGTGCAACGAGTGCAATCCAGACATGGGTCTCGCTCAAAATGTGGTAATTGTCCACAAAGTACTCAAGATTGCTACAGAACTAGAAATTACCAAAATGTGTGGGTACCAAGTCCCTCATTTTTTGTTTAATTTCCATAGTTGGATTTGTCCGGAAATCCCAAACCCTCAACTCCACTGAATAATAATCATGGTCCCTATGATAATGGGTATGTGAGTGTTTCTCAAAATTGGGGGACATATTGTCTGTACTTTATCCCCATTGGTTTCCCCTGAGCAAAAATTACCAATTCAATTTGGATGATGACTTGAGGCTTTTAGGAAACCCCTTAAAAATCCAGTGGTTTATCACAAGTGCCTCATAGGAATGGATCAGAAGACTTTAGACCTAGGGGACCACAGACTTTAGACCTAGGGGACCAAGTATTAACCATCCAATTATTGGGGGTATACCATGGTATACCCAAAGCTTTTCCCTACAAAAAATGGCGATGTTTTTTTCCCCAATTCTCAGCTCTCAGATCCAAGGTCCGAGCCATCCATAGATCTGGACCCCGCACTTGCTGTGCGCCTGGTGGTCGGCATTGGGGGCTCGTGCCCATGATTTTTGTTCGAAGTTAAAACCATCCATGGCTGATTTCCTGCGATCATTTTCCCGTTAAAAGATGTTAAAAGCATGGAGCTGCCCCTCGGCTGGCCCTGAGAAACTCCACAAACCCCGCGGCCTTCGAAAGGTGCGCATGCAGGTGTGGTGGCCAGAAACATCTCGCAGGCCCCGCGGCCAATGCCCTTGGGCACGCCTTCAGGGTACCTTCAAGGCCATAAGGCTCCGACACAGTGAATCGACACAGGGAATTCATGGTCCGAGTTTACACACACGTCTTGTGAACTGGATCGCTTCTGAATCTGCATTGCCACAGTAATCTATTTCAGGTCAGCTTCTTGCAGGGGGATGTAATTCCCTATAGAATTTGACACATATGCGTGCGTGTATGGGGACAACTACATACTGTCGTGTTTATAGGCATGTGATCATAAAAAAAATAGATTTGTCTGAGAATAGGGTATCCGCGAAATCTGCAAATTCATAACCATGTTTCCCATTGGGGTGTAGACCCTATGGATACCCCGAAATATGGGAAATCAATAGCAGAAGCTGCGGTCACATAAGCTGTAGCCAGGTCTGAGAGGTCGCCTCGCGAGGTAAGCGGAGGTAAGCGGAGGTGAGCGGAGGTGGTTGCAGCAAGTCTGGGATCGAAGCTAAGTAGGACACACGGATCCTATGACATGACGACATGATAAATAAAGGGGGGGTAGGTCATAACTCATAACGGTCAATACATGTCAATACACCTTATTGTTGACTATTTAGATATTTTAGATGACGACGGGACCGTTCAGTTGTGCTTTATGGCGCTGCCAAACCTGTTGTACTCGATGCTCAACCTGTATCAACCTGTTGGATATCAGCTGTGTGGGTATGGGTAATCCCAGCAATGGGTGACTTTGATCTGGCCTTATCAACACCAGCAAAGTGCGAGAGGCGGCTGGTGAAGTCCGACCTCGAGAACGGCATTGTCCAGGTTCCGCCACGTTGTAGAAATGAAGAGAACAAAAAGACTCAGTTCTGCCAAAACAAGAGTCAGACGATGTCAGAAGGGTTTGGAACGTTTTGAAAGAATACAGAATCCGCATGTTCTGAAGCAACACAACGCAATGCAGCTTAAGATGTTTTTCTGAATGTCGCCCCACGACAACCCGTTTGCCGTAACAGTCGACTGCCGTAACAGTCAAGAAAGTCCCATGAAAGATCCATGGGTTAACTCATCCACTGTTCAGGATGAAGCTACGAGCGCGCCCTGTCGGGACTGGTCATCAGTCCATTGAAACATGAACCTCTCAGCCCCGTCAGCGTGGCAACTTTCAGGCCTTTCAGGCGCCACTGTTGGGCTGGAATAGATGCTTCAGCTTGGGATGATGCGCCATCTGCACCGCTTGGTTCCACAATTCACCATCAATGTCTCCTTCAGGAAGTTTGCACACGGCTGTGGCCATCAACTCACCTTGCGGCCCTTTGGTTCCAATGATCTCAATCAACTGATTGGGAGCGATCTCCATCCCACTGTTCCTTGAATTTTCTGCCGAAAAAGAAAAAAATGAGAATAGTCCCGATAGGTTCCTCAGTCATGGATGTCATGGTGGATTAACTGCTTTAAAAATAGGAAAATGCCAAAAAAGGGGGGGGAAGAACATCAGCAAATCCAGGCTTCTGCACTGGCAACTTGGCACCTTCAAAGGTTTGGAGGATCCACTGCTGCGACTCCGGGACGAACTCACAGCGCCCGGCCAAGCGAGCGGCAGAACCCACGGGGACCTCGTTGTAGATGGCCATGTTCATGCGCGGAGCGCCAGCCATGGGTGTTTCAGCGGAGGTTTAGCGAACCAATGGAGCACGGAAATCTGAGCTTGAAGCTTCTGGAGGTTGCGGACGCTGAAAATGACTTCAACTTGAAGCTTGTGCAGTCAGATTCCACCAGCATTTTGAATGGATCCACCCTAGAAACGTCTTTTTGGGGCAGCATGAAGCGATTCAGCGATTATGGGTCACAAGTTGAAACCCAAAAACCTTTGGGTTCATTTTGAGGATCCCTTTCTTGGGTCGGAATCGTCCATTGTCATTTGGTTCCAGGCTCAGCAATCACTGCTTCCTCTCCAAAGACCTGACGCTGTTCCCGAGTCACCTGGTGTGGAATGTCTACAAAAGGGAGGTAAATGGTCGGTATCCCCAAGTCTATGGCCATGAAAATACTTGGAAAATGGCGCTAACTAATGAGATGTTGAGGGTATCCAATTTTCAGACAGCCCCAAATGGGCCTTCAGTCACAGATATTAATTGCATATGACCCTTGCACCAAAAAACTCCAAACAAGAGAGCCTTCTGGGGTCGAACAATTCGCCAATCGTGTGTCTCCAACCTCGTTGATGCACTTTCTGAGTTGTCCGAAATCAAAGTTCAAGCGCTTTTCGAAGTCCTGCAAAGTCAGCCTGGCTGCGGATGAAATCCATTTGCTACAAATGTGCACCGTGCTGCGCACCTTGTGGCAGGAGGTAGTCCCAAATCTTGTATAGTCAACGTCTCATCCTCAGGGCCACAGCACCCCCGCGCCCCAGGGATGCAACAAATGCTGTCAATTGCTGCAGTGCATCATATAGGATGGGTCAAAATTGGATATCAAAAAAAATGCAATGCCTAAAATGATCCAAGGAAATGACCCAAAATCCGTGGTTTGCTACGTCTTGAACGTTGACCGATAAAATAAGACAGTCATCCTTCAGCACTCAGACCCTGGCACCACCCACGACTTGGAGCACTGCTGCTCTAAGGTCCTTCCAAGGCCAATTGAAGCGGGACGACCACTTTGAACACTGCAACATCTTGATGTGCAGAGGGTGTGTTTGATTCTGTATTTTTATGTATGTGTGTGTGCTTCAAAACATTATCCTTTGACCCATCGGTATGTCTCCAAATTCAAGGAAAGTGATTTCAAGAAATGTTGACTATACAGTGACTATACACAGGAGATGTCACAATTTTCTGTCGATTTCAATCCAAAGATCAGAGAGAAAGAAAAACAAGCAGCCGGGCATGGGTCAATATTTGATACCCAAAAAGTCATCAATATCATTTTGATACCCATGAGTCAATATTTGATACACAAATTACTGAAGTCATTTTCTAGTCATTATATCACTGTAGTGTATAGAACCATCCCATTTTTGGGTCATCAATTGGGATCCCTTGCGTCTCACGCAGCGCCGCAGCGCTCCTCGGCGATCAGGAATCCCTTGTCCCCTCGGTCCAGACCCTGAAAGGCGCGCTGTCGCGACCTGGATGCTCAGGGAGTTTCAAGGGTGTTGCGACCCAATTGCCCGGGATGCTGGGGGACCATACGAAATTAGACCTGGTTGTTGCGATGATGATGATGATGACGACCATACTGAGGACAATGACAATGACGGTGATGATGATCATCACAGCTATTGTTCTTGTTATTATTTTAAGAGTGTTGGTGTTGGTGTTGTTGTTGTTGTTGTTGTTGGTGGTGGTGGTGGTTGTTGTTGTTGTTGTATCTAGTCATTGTTGTATATAGTTATTGCTGTATATAGTTATTGTTGTATATAGTTATTGTTGTATATGGTTGTTGCACAAAATTCTTTATCCAGGAACGGCCATTCTTCGCGAATAAAAATGTTACTTTCGCGAAACTTTCGCGAACTCCATGTTTATCTTTCGCAGAACCTATGTTAGGCAATCTTGATATCCAACTTTCGTGAAACTTTCGCGAAAAAATGTTCCTTTCGCGAACTCGAAAAAAGAACTTTCGCGCGGGTTTCCAACATAACATGCAGGGCTTTCGCAATTAAAACTCCTTACAAGGACCTTTAGATCGACCACCATATAGTTATTGTTGTATCTAGTTGTTGTTGTATATAGTTATTGTTGTATATAGTTATTGTTGTATATAGTTATTGTTGTCTATAGTTATTATTGTATATAGTTATTGTTACCACCCCTTGCTATTATCATTACTACTACCATTACTATTAGAACTGTTATTGATTGATTGTTGTGATCATTCATATGTTAATGATTGAAATCACCGCTACGTGGTAGTATTGCTATATTATTGCTCTTTTTGTTCCCATTTACTATCATTATTGTTATGGTGATGAGTATGGTTAAGGCGATGATTGCGATTATGATTGTGATTCTGATCCTGACTATCCTTGTTATTGTTCTTGTTTTTTATTTTTCTTCGTGACCAGATTATTCGTGCTATTCTTGTTCTTTTTGTTCTTTTTGTTCTTGTTCTTCTTCTTCTTCTTGTTGTTATTGTTGTGGTGGTGGTGGTCGTCGTCGTCGCCGTCCTCGTCGTCGTCGTTGTCGTTGGTGTCGTTGTTGTTGTTCTTGTTGCTGTCGTTGTTGCTGCTGTTGCTGTTGCTGTTGCAGTTGCTGTTGCTGTTACCTATGATTGCAGTTCTGTCGGGTATCATGCGGTAGCACAAGCCCCAAAATAGCACATCTTCCAATCCCTCTGGCGCATGCTGAGCCTTTCGCAGGCCAAGCTTCTTGCTGGCTTCAGCGATCTTGTAGTACAGGATGGAAAGCAAATGTCTCACAGCTGGATTCATGCCACCAAGGCAAGGAAGCTCAACCAAAATCTCCCACAGTTGAAGACCGTCCAATGCCGGATGATTTTGAATGCTGGGAAATGCCAATTATTGTTGCATGTCAATATGTTCCCATCTGCCTTGCCTTCTTTGCGGCTATATCCGCATTGTTTGAGGATTTGAAAGCCATTACTGATACTTAAAATCCCGCAGTAAAGCCCCCATAATTTGGTGATAGATTAGCATGCTTTTTTCCCATGGTCGAACCTTGCTCGATATCCGCACCTCTTTGAGGGCTTCGCAGCAGGCGCATCTGAAGCTTCGCCGCAGACTCGGGCAATGGCGTCTTTGACTGAAGGTCCCTGGCGATACGGCACCAGATGGGCTGAAAAATGCGAATGAAAAAGCCAACTCCCGATCATCATCCAAATTTGGTAGGTATCACCAGTGGGACCAACTGTAAGCAGGATTCAATCCGAAATCATCGGATCTAAGTACCTAACTTTTCTCATAGGGACCTCTGACCTGGGCTGAGGGTTCCATTCTCCATTTCCAAGACTTCAAATCCACCAGCGACAACATCAGGACGCTATGCGCGCCTTCCAGGTTCCACCAGCCACTAGGCTCGCATAGTCAAAGTTGGATGCATCGCGCTTGCAGCCCTCTGCCAGCAGCTGCGCAAACTCATCCACTTCCGTCATGTCGCTTCCACGGATGTCGCGATTTCGATCAGAGATGCTTCGCCGATTTGGCGTGGAAAGTCCCAAATTTAGAATCTGTACTATTCTATTGAATGAGCCAAGTTCCAAGCATCGCATCCAATCACCAGCCTCCGAAAAGGTTCAGTCGTGCCAGCACCCCGCGCAACTGGGCCGCAGAGAGTTTGCCCGTACGGCCGGTGTCATGATCTTTGGACGCGGCCTGGACCGTTGATGCAGCGGCGTCCCGTGAGCAAGTTGGCTCTGACAACCCAAAATGTCGTACCATGGTCCCACAAACATTGGCCGTCGTCTTAGACCATCCGATATGGTAAACTGTTTTGCGCTATAGATGCCCAGATAACAAGCCTCGAACTCTGCAGCTTTGTCGATTAAGACCTTGCCGAAGCCGAGGCAAGTTCCATGCAGGGTCCCTTCAAGCCTTTGCCATCCTTTGGCTAAGATTGGAGGATGTTGGAGGTAAACACGCTGGAAAAATCGTAGCATCATCTTGGAACAATATCAGGCGTTGCCCTGTCCCCCAACATAGAGAGAAAGCTGTGATGTGTCGCAATCCTGTCGGATATACAGGGAAATTATGGGAAATGTATCCCGGCAAGAGACCCCAAACAGTGTTGCAAGGAGCACGAAGAGATGCCAGGTTAGATCCTGCAAGTTCCCTGTGCGCAAATCAATGTAGATCGTGTGCAAGATCCCCTTGGCAGAATTTCTAGAAGCTGCAGAAGATCCCTTTGTAAGGCTATTCGTACAAGGTGTCTATAAGAGATCTCCGCGCAAGATCTCTGTAAAACATCTGAAAGTAAGATCTCTGTCCAGACTTTGTGTAAGAAATCTCTTAGCAAGATGTCCGTTCTCTTCACCAGATCTGTGTACAAGATCTCTAAAAGAGGTCTCTTGGCAAGATCTCTGTACAAGCTCTCTATAAGGGCTCTCTTGGCAAGATCTACGTAAGAGACCTCTTGGCAGATCTCTATGCACGGTCTCTGTGCAAGATCTGTAAAAGAGCTCTCTTGGTAAGATTTGTGCCCAAGCTCTCTATAAAAGACCTCCTTGTCAAGATTCTCTGCACAAGATGAGGACCGCACCACAACTAAAGCGATCCAACACACCCAAAGTGCCGAGAGGGCTGCGCGGGCTATCTCAAAATTTACACCGCACCACAACGAGAGCACGAGAGCGACATGCACAAAGTGACAAGAGGGTTGCGCGAGCGATCTCACATTTTGAGCACAGCGCCACAAGGAGATTTTCACCAAATACTATGCGCACATATGCGCACCACGAAACATGAACAGCGAAAATGGCAAAGCATGTGTCTTACCGAGGTTTCGGGCACTTTTTTATTGAAGTCTACGAAGTACTGCGCCTGCTACGAAAAATATGAAAAATAAACCCGAAGCATCCGAAGTGCCGCACCTGAGTACCTGCCACACGGAATCATCATCATCATCATCATCATCATCATCATCATCATGTTCCGTCAAAAAACACGACAATTCTGAAACGAGTGGCTTTTGACCCTTTCAAAACGTCGTCATCGTCGTCCATTTTTCACAAATCACTGCGCCTGCCACGATGATCTCCGAAAGCACCTCTCATCTCAACCCACGCTTGCCAACGTTTTAGCAACGTGGAGAAAGCGCCACGCCTGCCACACGGATGAAAAAGTGTCCGATGTCCTGCACCTGTCACGCGAAACGACATTCTAGACCTGAAAACGTTGCGAAAGCGCCAGGCCTGCCACGAAAATTGGCTTAGGTCAAGAAACAAGCACGGTGCGGCGGTAAAAGTACACCTTCCGAAGAATGGTCTCCAAGACCAAGTTTCGTGCGAGACTTCCATCAAAAACGGAAGATCGAGGATTTTTTGTGCTGTTACCCTGAATCGAAACCAGGCCTTACCCAGCACGGTAAGAACCCTAAGTGTGGGCACACTGTTTGGGGGAAAAAACCTTCGCGGCAAACTTCCAACTACGTGGCTGCGTGGCCCCAAAAAATTCGATAAAACCGAGAGCATGGCTGGCAACCCACGCAGGATCAAATGCTCCGCGGCAGCATTTCGCTCTTCTTTCAGAGCCGCCTAGTGAAGATGGTCAACTGAGAGACAGCTCGGTGTTCGCGACTTCGGTGACGGTGACATATGTGACATGCATTCCATGTAACAAAAAATGATTCAAAAAATGATAAAAAAGAAATTGGTTGTAATTGCTAAACCATACGTATATGAACCACTTCCGGAGAAGTTGAGGCCAAGAGCACTGAAGCAAACCTGATAGCACGGCGCCTCGAGCTGCCTGTAGGAAAACCCACCCGCGCCAGAGAAGCGCCAGAAGAGTAGACCAACATCTGCCTGAGACACAGGAGAAGCGGTAGAAACTGTTGCCAACATTTGCCAACTACCGCCGCCAGATACAGATTGACAACTGATCTCAGCTGATGCATTTTCTGTCTCCATCGTTCTGCAGGAAGGTTCTCAGCAGGTTATGTGCCTTCGAAAGCACTCCAGGACACAAACTGGACAGCACCGAGGACAACTGCTGGAGGTTCAGGCTGCCAACACCTCTGCATCTGGCAGGTGGTCAAAATCAAGAAAAAAACAAACCACAAATGCAGTCATTTCCAGCTCATTCCACATATTTTGCTAGGGTCGCCCAAATTTTGTTGAAAAACTCAGTTCAGGGCGTTTTGTATCGGCGCCCAGACACAGTTTCCCAACCTCAGAACCATGTCAAATGAAAGTGAAAGCTGGTGTGGGTGTGCGGTAACTAATTTGGCTAAGGAGATCAAGCCTCAAGCATGGTTGGTTGAATTATGAACCTCGAGGTTTCATTGCAGTGCATTTGCATCCATTTGCTCCGACAAGCCCCATCAGAATTGGGTCTGACGAACGAAGAACGACGTGAACCTGATGATCCTTGATGGGTAAAAAAACATGTGTCGGAACAAATTTGCCAAAAGTCTGCGTGTTAAGCCGCTCACATCTTCTCCACGGTGACGTGCTTCCCTGGCAACCACTCGAAGTACTCTGCGGGCGGCCTGGTCTGGTCGAATGGGGACACCGCGCTTCAATCACCCCAATGTTGTCACATGTTTTAACAGGTTTTAGCTTTAGCGGTAAAAATACGTTCAAATACAGTATGAATTTCCTTCGATTCAATTTCCCCCAAGCCAGCCCTTGCATCAAACCAAGAATAGGCTCCATCCAGACTTGGATAGTTGGAAATGATCTCCCAATCGCTGCTGGTGGATCTCCAATTGTTACTGATTAAATCTCCATATGTTGATGAACCACTCGCCAGAAATGTCCCTCTTGGTTGGTCCTGCCATACACCCGAGGATTTCGCTCCGCACCTCCATGGCAAACTCCTCAGAGCCGAGCTTCCAGAGCTGTTCAGCCACGGGTGCCCGTGATCCCCAGGTCTCTGGTAACGGGTGCCACGATGGGGCAATGGCCCTGACGCGCTGGGGAGACGCAACGGGTGACGAAGCTGCTGCGCGGCTGGGGGACCCAAGAGAGGGCGGTGGACCAGGAGCACTTGCGAAGGATGGATCCATCGTCAGTGGAGGCCTACAGGGCTGCAGGCAAGAAGGGCTAGGACATCATTTCTTCATGTATAGGTACAAGAATATTGTTTTTCGCATCTTCACTTTTCGAACATTTCCTCAACTCTTCGGGCTGGTGAATGTTTATCCCCACTATTTGACGGTGTATGTATGTATGTATGATTATGTATGTATGATTATGTATGTATGTATGTATGTATGTATGTATGTATGTATGTATGTATGTATGTATGTATGTATGTATGTATGTATGTATGTATGTATGTATGTATGTATAGTCATGTATATATATATACATGTAGTATGTATGTATGTATGTATGTATGTATGTATGTATGTATGTATGTATGTATGTATGTATGTATGTATGTATGTATGTATGTATGTATGTATGTATGTATGTATGTATGTATGTATGTATGTATGTATGTATGTATGTATGTATGTATGTATGTATGTATGTATGTATGTATGTATGTATGTATGTATGTATGTATGTATGTATGTATGTATGTATGTATGTATGTATGTATGTATGTATGTATGTATGTATGTATGTATGTATGTATGTATGTATGTATGTATGTATGTAGTATGTATGTGTGTATGTATGTATGTATGTATGTATGTATGTATGTATGTATGTATGTATGTATGTATGTATGTATGTATGTATGTATGTATGTATGATGTATGTATGTATGTATGCATGCATGCATGGATGTATGTATGTATGTATGTGTATGTATACATATCTATATATTATGTATATATATATATATACGGATATACGCTGTGGCTAGTGGTACCTCCTGAAACCACCAACCGAATTAATCATTTTTGGGGTATCCCCCTGTTCTTGATTGTACTGCCATTCTTTCTGACTTTAGAAAACAGCCGCTAAGTCATTTTTATTCACCAAAACCACAAGGTCTAGAGTCTAGAGATGATTGCTTGCCTTCCCAAAGGACTTGACTCTCGCTCCGGGCCAACGAAGGGCCGTAAATAGTCACCCCTGGTTGGACTCACCTGAGAACGGATCAAAGTGTGGCCCAGTGGTGCCACAATGCTCGAACCAGCGGATGGGAAACCACACCGGCGTTTTGTTTTTTTCAATGTCGCTGAGAAACACGAGTCTCATGGAAGGAATACTCTCATTCGTGACCCTTGGCCAGAGCGAAACGGGTAGCTGTGGACAATGGAAAATAGATTATAAGAAAAAACAGGTCTGAAGAAAACGTGCGTGTGAAAGTGCGATTCAATCCGCACAGGACACCTCCCAATTTGGTCTTGCTTTTTTTGGGGGGATGCTCTTTTTGGGACGGGTTCGGTGGTGTGGGGGAGCTAACAACGTTTTGCCGCCTTTAATCTCTCCAGCACGCTCTAGATTCTACGCTCTTAACTTTCTACACGCTCTTGGATGCTGGAAGCTCCTGAAACACGGAGCACGCCGGACAGTTTGGTCAGTCGTCTCAAAATCCAGAACTTTTGAAGGCTACATCTCATTCTATCCTAGCAAGATCTGGGCCTGTCTCGAAATGGGCTATACACGGAAAATTGCACGAAATTGCTGTGTTCATCTGAACATTCTGATAAACCTGGGGGGTTCAAAATTTTGATGCAACCCCATGTCATCTGGTATCCAGTTTGGGCTCTTTTTGGATTTTTCTTTGTGCTAAGACGAAGACTTCTTCGCGACCAGGTGCTGCATACTTCGCGGATGCCTCGTACAGCTGCTAATGGGAAAATTGAGAATATGATATAAGTCGCTACAAATGGGCATTGGGATTGATTGTGTTTCATTTCATGAACTGGTTCGTTAGGCTGTTGTGTTTCATTTCTTTGAAATATATTTTCATGTCAATCGCTAACTCTTCAGCCTTCCATCAAAGGGAATCAGGGAGATCGCAAGGCGCCGGCCTCCGTGATTGCTTGGAGGATCTGATCAGCATCCTGCAAAGCAATCTCTGATGGTCATGAAGGCACGGGTTTGTCTCAACATCTGCAAACCCATGGGACCCTTCCCATACCACAAATTTGGTTGAGTTGGAACCCCAAGCTGGTTCCATTCAGATGGCTTAGAACTGTGTAGAATGTTTAGAATGTCATTTTATCCATCAATATGGTCATTCTGGGGTACAAGTATCCCCCAGCCTGGGCAAATAAATATGAGGAAACCCCTAGATGGGCCAAAGTGTGAGCGCCAACGCTCCTCAAACATCCTCAAACTAAGATAGTTGTTTATATACATTCCAATTTTGACGCACCCCTTTTTGACACGTGCCCTCCATAAATGACATCCGCTCTGTCCGGCCTTCTCAGACAATCGACTTCGCAACAACGAGCGTGCACGAGGGACAGCCTTGCCATTCAAGTGGCTGCATGGTGCAACGATTACAGGGATTTGACAAAGTCATGCCTAAGTCACTCCTTTCGCTTTCCCCGCTTGTGAACGCAACATCAAGAAGTCATGCCTAAGTCATGCCTTTCGGTCTTCCCCCATTGTGAACGCAAGCGTCAAAATAACCCTTTCCAAATCAGAACCTTTCACTTTCACCCTTTTTTCTCTTCCCTGTGCTTGCGATTCACTGTTTCTTCTTTGCCCACTTTCTTCCCCAAACAGGTTTATCTGTATGGGGTTCTCTGGGTAGCTATGGCCCCCTTACACTGAAAGGGGCCAAGGCAGTTTGTAAGTTCTTACTCCTTGAAAGGGTTGCAGTCCTGGGTCGCATTATTTTGCTTCTGTCTCCGGGCTTGCATTCCTGGCAGCTCTCCGACTACGGTCTGGGTGCTCTGGGCCGCCTGGTTATACAATGTTATACACTCGTCTCCCACTTGTCTCCACTTGTGTCCCACTTGTCTCCTACTCACCTGCATTTCGCATGATGTGCCTGGTGTGCCTCAACAGCACCCACCCAGCAGCACTGGACAGGCAGAGACAAGAAACAACGACCAAGCAAAGAGGGAGACCAGCTGCAGCAAACATCCACCAGCAGCACCTGCCCAAAGAAGAGAGCAAGAGGAAGGCAAGAGCACCAACCAAAGATTCCAAAGAGCAACCAAAGAAGGGCAGGGAAGGGGAAAGGACCAGGAAATCTAAGCCTGGAAAAACGAGATCAAAAACGAGATCAAAACGAGATGCAAACGAGATCCAAGCCCTGGCAGCAGCAAACTCCCGGAAAGTAAAATCGGAAGGTTGAATCACATGAAGGAGAAGCCTACATGGCATCACGCATTGACGCAGCACAAGCAGGCAGAACCCAGCAGCAGCAGCAGCAGCAGCAGGCAGAACCTAGGAGCAGCAGGCAGAACCTAGGAGCAGCAGGCAGAACCAGCAAAACCCAGCACAAGCGTGCAGAACCCAGAACCCAGCAGCAGCAGGCAGCAGCAGGCAGCAGCAGGCAGAACGCAGCAGGCAGAACGCAGCAGGCAGCAGCAGGCAGAACGCAGCAACAGCAGGCAACAGCAGGCAGCAGCAGGCAGCAGCAGGCAGCAGCAGGCAGCAGCAGGCAGAACGCAGCAACAGCGGGCAGAACGCAGCAACAGCGGGCAGAACGCAGCAACAGCGGGCAGAACGCAGCAACAGCAGGCAGAACCCAGCAGCAGCACGCAGAACCCAGCGCAAGCGGGCAGAACCGAGCACAAGCAGGCAGAGTCCAGCAGGCACAGATTCCAACAGGAGGGGACAGAACCATACAGAACCTAAATATGATAAGTTTCAATGGGCACGCCTCTCACGGAACTATTGACAATGACATCACCATAAAGATTGCAATCAATACCATACAGGGTTATATAAGTAGAATCATGTCAACAATACACTGCCCACAGCGATGAAACAGTATTCAAATCTACAGCCAGTCAAATAAAGATTAAAAGAACTATCAAAATCTAAACGAAACACTGCGCGCACGCAGGTGTGATACGACTTCAGGCCACTTGGTACGACGTAAGCCTAGCGGTAGGTAGTAGTTCAGAAGCAATCCAGCAGCAGTTTGGCAGTAGACAGCGGCAGCAACTGAGCAACAGCCAGCAATTGAGCAGCAGTTTAACAGTAGTTGCTGAATACAGTTGAACGTACAGAAGTCACTGATAAGAAAGCAGCTGCAACAAGAAAAAGTTTCCCCCCAACTGAACGCAACAAAATCTAGATATACCCTAAGCATAACTAGATACCTAAACCCAAGCTGAACGCAAGAAAAAACACAAAACCACTTAAAAACATGGTGGCGCTGTGATCACCAGAGTTTGCTTGCGTTTTGCAAAAAGGCACGACTTCCAGGGAAAGCTTCGACGCAACTAAATCTAGACATTTCTTTAAATTACACCAGCATAGACCCCAGATAGAAAAGGTTGGAACTGATGGTTCCCAACGTGGGAACCAAAGGTTACCATGGCAAGGAACTGCCGGTTCCCAGACCTTGAAACTTAGGGTTCCCAACCTGGGAACCAGAGGTTGCCATTGCAAGGAATTGCTGGTTCCCAGAAGTTAGAATTTATGTTTTCGAAGATAAGCAACTATCATTGTAAGGAATTGCCGGTTGCGAAAGCTTGAAACTCATGGTTCCAAAGCTGAAAAAGCATACGTTACCAGTGGAAGGATCTGTTGATTCCAAAAAGTTGGAACTCATGGTTCTTAATGTTGTTTTGTTTTGTTTACTGAGCCGGTAACAGAACCTTTTGTTTTTCTTAATGGACCGGTAGCGGAATGTTTGCGTTCGGCTGCTGGGCCGGCATAAAAATGTTTTTGCACGAAAAAGGTGCATGTTAAAATGATATGAAAACATTTTTTTTTACAACTTTATGGTTTTGCTTAATGGACCGGTAAAGAACGCTCGGTTTTGCTTAATGGACCGGTACCGGAATGTTTGCGTTTGGTTCATGGCAAGGAACTGCCGGTTCCCAAAGGTTGGAACTCACGGTTGCCAACGTGGGAACCACAGGTTACCATTGCAAGGAACTGCCGGTTCCCAGAGGTTGGAACTCCTGGTTCCCAACCTGGGAACCATGGGTTACCATTGCAAGGAACTGCCGGTTCCCAGAGGTTGGAACTCATGCTTCCCAACCTGGGAACTAGAGGTTACCATTGCAAAGAACTTCCAATTCCTAAAGGTTGGAACTGATGGTTCCCAACGTGGGAACCAAAGGTTGCCATGGCAAGGAACTGCCGGTTCCCAGACCTTGAAACTTACGGTACCCAAACTGGGAACCAGATCTGCTCGAGGTTACTGTTGCCAGGAATTGCCGGTTCCCAGAAATTAGAATTTTATGTTTTCGAAGCTAAGTGGCTATCATTGTAAGGAACTGCGGGTTCCCAAAGCTTGAAATTCATGGTTCCAAGCCTGAAAAAGTAACGTTACCAGTGGAAGGATCTGTTGACTGCAAAAAGTTAGACGTCATGGTTCTTAATGTTGTTTTGTTTTGTTTACTGAGCCGGTAACAGAACCTTTAGTTTTGCTTAATGGACCGGTAGCGGAATGTTTGCGTTCGGCTGCTGGGCCGGCATAAAAATGTTTTTGCACGAAAAAGGTGCATGTTAAAATGATATGAAAACATTTTTTTTACAACTTTATGGTTTTGCTTAATGGACCGGTAAAGAACGCTCGGTTTTGCTTAATGGACCGGTACCGGAATGTTTGCGTTTGGTTCATGGCAAGGAACTGCCGGTTCCCAAAGGTTGGAACTCACGGTTGCCAACGTGGGAACCACAGGTTACCATTACAAGGAACTGCCGGTTCCCAGAGGTTGGAACTCATGGTTCCCAACCTGGGAACCAGAGGTTACCATTGCAAGCAACTGCCGGTTCCCAGAGGTTGGAACTCATGCTTCCCAACCTGGGAACCATAGGTTACCATCGCAAAGAACTTCCAACTCCTAAAGGTTGGATGGTTCCCAACGTGGGAACCAAAGGTTACCATGGCAAGGAACTGCCGGTTCCTAGACCTTGAAACTTACGGTTCCCAACCTGGGAACTAGAGGTTACTATTGCAAGGAATTGCCGGTTCCCAGAAGTTAGAATTTATGTTTTCGAAGCTAAGCGGCTTTCATTGTACGGAACTGCGGGTTCCCAAAGCTTGAAACTCATGGTTCCAAGCCTGAAAAAGTAACGTTACCAGTGGAAAGATCTGTTGATTGCAAAAAGTTAGAACTCATGGTTCTTAATGTTGTTTTGTTTTGTTTACTGAGCCGGTAACAGAACCTTTAGTTTTGCTTAATGGACCGGTAGCGGAATGTTTGCGTTTGGCTGTTGGGCTGGCAAAAAAAAAAATGCACGAAAAAGGTGCATGTTAAAATGATATGAAAACATTTTCTTTACAACTTTCTGGTTTTGCTTAATGGACCGGTACAGAACGCTTTGTTTTGCTTAATGGACCGGTACCGGAATGTTTGCGTTTGGTTCATGGCAAGGAACTGCCGGTTTGCAAAGGTTGGAACTCACGGTTGCCAACGTGGGAACCACAGGTTACCATTGCAAGGAAACTGGCCGGTTTTCCCAGAGGTTTGGAACTCCGGGTTCCCAACCTGGGAACCTGGGTTACCATTGCAAGCAACTGCCGGTTCCCAGAGGTTGGAACTCATGCTTCCCAACCTGGGAACCATAGGTTACCATTGCAAAGAACTTCCAATTCCTAAAGGTTGGAACTGATGGTTCCCAACGTGGGAACCAAAGGTTGCCATGGCAAGGAACTGCCGGTTCCCAGACCTTGAAACTTACGGTTCCCAACCTGGGAACCAGAGGTTACCATTGCAAGGAATTGCCGGTTCCCAGAAATTAGAATTTATGTTTTCGAAGCTAAGCGGCTATCATTGTAAGGAACTGCGGGTTCCCAAAGCTTGAAATTCATGGTTCCAAGCCTGAAAAAGTAACGTTACCAGTGGAAGGATCTGTTGATTGCAAAAAGTTAGAACTCATGGTTCTTAATGTTGTTTTGTTTTGTTTACTGAGCCGGTAACAGAACCTTTTGTTTTGCTTAATGGACCGGTAGCGGAATGTTTGCGTTCGGCTGCTGGGCCGGCATAAAAATTTTTGCACGAAAAAGGTGCATGTTAAAATGATATGAAAACATTTTCTTTACAACTTTATGGTTTTGCTTTGGACCGGTAAAGAACGCTCGGTTTTGCTTAATGGACCGGTACCGGAATGTTTGCGTTTGGTTCATGGCAAGGAACTGCCGGTTCCCAAAGGTTGGAACTCACGGTTGCCAACATGGGAACCACAGGTTACCATTGCAAGGAACTGCCGGTTCCCACAGGTTGGAACCATGGTTCCCAACCTGGGAGCCAGAGGTTACCATTGCAAGCAACTGCCGGTTCCAGAGGTTGGAACTCATGCTTCCCAACCTGGGAACCATAGGTTACCAT